AGACACACGGTGTGTGTAGGTCGCTTTCCGGTTGCTCGTGATTAACTTGTCAGTTTGTCAAGGCATCGTGTTCTTTCAACAAGATGCCGATTCCCGAACCTACTTGGGGTCAGTTGGGTACATATAACAAACATGCCCACGTGTGCCAGGTAGCTGACGATGCCATAAACTGTCAAGTATAACAATTCTTTAAAATATTATTCGAATATTTCTCGGGCTTTGCAGTTTTTACATTCGTTGTTTCAAAATGTCTTTTGCAATGCTAACAACATCATCTTCCCTCCTACCCTCATCCCGAATTAGTAACAGTAGTTTGACAAGGTATTGTGGAATTGTGAAAATCACACAGATTCAGACCTTTTGTGACAGACAGGTGACGTTTCGTTCAGCAATATCTCCAGTTGCAAGCCCAGAATATGATCAGTCGAGTGCCATTTAAAAGCGAATGAGTCTATCCCTGAATATATACTGTTGGTTGGTTTAATGTTTAACGCCGCACTCAGCAATATTCGTGCTATATATGGCGGCGGTCTATAAATAATCGAATCTGGACCAGACAATCTAATGATCAATAACATGAGCATCGTTCTACGCAACTGGGATACGGTGACATGTGTCAACCAACTCAGCGAGCCTGATCACCCAATGCCGTTAGTCGCCTCTTACGACAAGCATGGGTTACTGAAGATCAATTCTAACCCGGATCTTCACGGGTCCTGAATATATATACTTGTGAGACATGATGGTGTGTAATACAGCCCAAAACCGTTGTGTCGAACATTGATTTGTCGAACTTACTGTTGTATCGAAGTAAAAAAATTCCTTCATTAGTCATCCTTTACGATAGTATTTTTGTTGGCCTTATCAGCTTCGACGCGTAGACTATATATTGTAATCAGCAAGTCCGAAGTGTCAATTTTCTTCACAGTATACTTCTGATCTGGTGCCACGAAGCCATCTTAGCACTACAACTATCGTAAACCCCTGTTGAAGTATGTGAGTAAGCGTTAAGATCGCTTTGTGGACAGGGTCCCTAAACACTGTATGCCAAAATTAGTTTCAATAACCACAAGACATTTCTACTTAAATCAGAGTCCATGAAACGATTCCAACTATATGAGCACTATCGACTGGTGACATGAATAGGCGCTTGGGAACAGGGTTTTATCATCCAAGCTTCCTTTGCCTATACTAGCCCTTGCTAACTTCATTTCTGGTAGGTCAAGACGGCTGTCGCTGCGCTGAGATTATTCAGTACAACTTGACATAGCTTACACATGCAAATGCCCGTCCTAGCTCATATGTCATGGACGTCAGATCATAGCGCATATCATCACACTGGACAACGATAGACATCTTCCCATTCACGTTACCAATTCATCACGACGAGTAGGAGAATAATCTGTACTTCGAGTATTCATGGCATCCGTGATGTCCCTCTGGAATCATTTGTCTTGTTCACGTGGCGCGTCCGGAATATATCACACTCATAATCATTTAGCAACGTAATATTTAGTGTCTCGAACATCAATTACACGATGGGATTGCTTCCAAACCTTACGACAAGAGAAGTCAATCTCATATTGCCGCGCTTATTGAGGTGAGATTGCCGAGACGTTTCTACTATTGAATTACCTTGATTCTCTACGAGACGAATCGCAGACCTACCGATGTTCTGATGTTGATTTGTAAGTTGACGTGGACCGTTTGGCTGACCGTGGAGTGAAAGGAATCCCACTAACAGCTGTGTACAGCTATGTTGCATCAGCTAAATATATTTTTCGAGTTATATATTGATATGCCTGGCGTAACAGCTTTTATTTGTATTACCACCACCATATCTTTGCTTTGGCCGTTGTGAAAGACCACAGTCTGAAATGCTCCACGTTTATTACGTAGGACTTTAAATAGTTGAATCTGTTCAACATCAACCTGTACTTTATCATAAACAACGAGCCCTCCGTCAGAGTTCCGTAACACGTTATCAGTTATATCACCAGCGTAATCACTAAATACATAAAATCGCTCTTACGAACGCATTGGTTTCTGAGATCATTTTTAATGCGGTGTTCCAGCAAGATCCACCTGGAACAGCAAGAATGGGGTTGATACATTGCGCCCATATTGGGAATCGATCCCAGGCCTGCGGCTTCACGCCCGATCGTTCTTATCACTTGGCTACCAGTCCCTGGAACTGTTTCTTTGGAAGATGATACATAGCCTTGGCTTTTCCGTGCAAATACATGCAATCGGTAGATGATCGTGTGGACCAGTCTTTACATCTTTGTTAACGATTACACGTCCTGGCCAGCCAGTTCAAAGCTGAAACGTAATCCAGCCACGATGCGTCCATGTTCAGAGCCATCAGACATTTGGGTCTCTGTGAAGCGATTTATGCCCGGAACAATTTGTGTGATAAATTATTGATGACAGCTTTGGTATTCCATATCTTCATATTTGGTATTTCAATGTCAGGATGGTCTTGTGTCAATTGTGATCCATAAGAAAGGTATGCTACTTTATGGATGACAAGTTCTTTACTATATTCTGATGCCAAGTTTCGGGATAGGTTCTTGCTTCACAAGAAACTTGAATCTAACATACGTCGTATACAAATGCTTGATCAAAACCTTGCTATTAGATTATAACACACTCGTCAACGTCGACCGGAATCAACCTAGTTTCACCTCCCAAGCAGGCCCACAGTGGCACACTGTTGGACATTCTCCAAATCAGCTTCAATCCCAACTCTTGCTCTTTTATGGTTTCATCATTTCTAAATGCAACGGACATTTCACATTGGGCTTAAAAGGATCACGTTTTGTCTCTTCCATCTATACGTACTGCGTCGGGTCTTTATGCTTGATTTATTCCCTGGGATTACGTTTATTATTTTCCACAGTTCTTCAGACGGGGTCAAGTTTCCCAAATCTGTCTTGATTGACTCTTATCCTCTTTATGGTATCATCCGTCTCCAACTAAATATCATGCTCACACCTTCCTTCCAGCTCAGACTAATTAAATGCAGGGCTTGTCTTATGCCCTAGTATCCGTCAGAGTCTTAATCTAATTTAGTCCATACTAAGACCATTTGTGTTTCTGAAAAACAGCTTTGATGAGCACGGCTGGGCCTAGGCGACATTATTAATAGAGCCTGGATGAGTTCTCTATCGATTGCAGTCGCTACCTGTACTATCCAGGACATGACGGCTCTTTTAGGTCTAAGATATCTCCTTGACATTTCTACTTATCCTGTTAGAAGTAGTCTCAGAGATCGAGAAGGGCATAGTACCCTACTGCCAGGGAGCTCTTGGTCCGACAAAAACACGGATGCTGTCGCCATCAAAGATTTCTAACAGTCAAAGAGTCTTGCATTATGGAGACAAGACGCTATACAATTTTACACTTGAATGGCTTATAATTTTGTCTGTGTTTGGTATTTCTGTGTCAGCCGCAATGGTAGTTCTACACTGAAATATCGGTATTGAATGTATAAGGTATATAAACACAATTTATCGTCCATACTCGGTGTCCCCAGGAGACATTGCTTAGGGGAGATCAGGGTGTCTCTGAGAGTGAGTGAGTCTGGTTTTACGCCGCTTTTAGCAATATTCCAGTGATATACAGGGGGACACCAGAAATGGGTTTCACGCATTGTACCCATGTGGGGAATCGAACCCGGGACGAGCAGAGGCTTAAACCACATGGCTACCCCCATCGCCCCCTTTTAGGAGATATCACAGCAATGCGATTGCTGTGCAGATCGCCCTGACATCTGTTACCATGACACCACACTCATCACTAATCGCAATGCCGCAGTAGCCATTTAGCAGTGCTTTCAAAATATTACCCTGAAAAGTCGACCTCGCAATTGTGAACAAGTAGCACAAGTTATCATTTCTATCAAGAACAATGGCCTCAAACATGACTTAAAGCACATACAATGTTTGTTAAGTACACATGTACTTAGTATTTGTATTCCCTGCGTCACTCTTTGTACGAACAGCCCCAAATCCCATCTAATATTATCAAACCATTCTAAATTCACAGCAGATCTCAAATCTCGGCTGTAGGTTGGTTTCTCTAATGGATGTATCCCAGTAGCTAAGCTCTGAACAATGTCAGTGTTTCTGCCAAATATCAAAACACCCTACTATATTCCGTGTTTAGAAGCAAGACATAATATATGGTATCAAAGAACATTATTCGGGCATTCTTTCGAATCTGATATTTTGCCTTTGTGCCCAATGGGATGTGGATCGGCAGAGTACCGCAAGTTTTAAATTAAACGTTACACTTTGACATTTTCACGTTTGTATCTCTGCAGTGTGACTTATCGTTGTAGTAAGGTCCAACAGTTAGGATATATCATATAGGACTATTCGTGCTCGTGTACTGTGGTAGCCAGATAAGAGCGTTAAATATTGTAGGGTAGCATTTCAAAGAGGAAGTTGAACTGCATGTCTGGTGTCCCCCTGGAGCATATCTCATCACTGCAAAAATGTAGCTGATAAAAATGCCCAGGATTTCAATTACAAGATCACAATATGGATGATTCGAAAAAAAGGATTGCCTTGTCAATCCCTTGTGCATGCACGCAAGTACCAGTGTATACCAATGCTGCGTTCTTTCACAAGAGAGAGATCACACGTTCTGAAGATTCAAACCATGTGATATCATATTAACCACAGCAAATGTATTGTCCCCATTTCAACTTTTATCGTAGGTAATATCCGACGATGTATCATCTGTCGACAGTTCAGACGTGAAACACTATTTGTTATATGGAATCTCTTGATCCTGAATTTCTCTCTTTAGGAGCAGGGAAGCTGTGCTTTAACTGAAGTACTATTTATGGCGACGGTAATCCAAACTTACGCACTCTTTTACCTTGATCACGTTCTGATTCGTCGTTAGAAACTCATCAAACGAGATACTCCAACCTAGATTCTGTTTGAGGTGTATTGGAATGTGATTTGTCTTTCAATCTTTTTCTTCAGACGCTGTCTACGTGTGTCCATGAACTGCTCTCAACGTTGATAAGGAGTAACTGACATGGTCGTCTAGCTGCTCATTTTGGTTTGGTAAGTCTACCACCCTGCCCTACATTTAACTATGCTTTGTGTATATAGAATGAACACCAGGTAATCGGAAACACTGATGGTATTTTAATTGTGGTCCATTTTGAGTGTTATGTACATAATCTTGATATGTACAGAAACCATTGCTATTTAGTCATTGTACTCCGTCTTCTAATAAGGATCGTCACGATATGGCTAAAATGATGCCGATGTGACGTAAAATTTTAACTTACTCACTCACTTTAATAAGGAAAATGTTTAACAGTCCTGATTAACAAGGTTTCAATGGAGTACTATACTGCTCTTGAAGTATAAGAACAGCCGATTCTTTCCTATATGGTAATATCCCATTTTAATGACAACTATGTAGTAACAGATAAGTTTGTACTATACTGTCTTGAATTATAGGAACATCTGATATTTAAAGATTGCTGTGGTTTATCTCTCATATCAATGACAGTCATGTCATGACAGAACGCTTATAATATCAAGGTCTCAGTTGAGTGTTGTAACCTTTTTAGCTTTATGTTGGCATACTCATTCCATCCCACCGGGTACCCACTCACTGCAGTTATTTTCAAACCAAAGAGTACGATAATAGAACTGTAAAAGAGTGTTCTTAAACATGATTTTAGTAGTATAGTATTTGAATTAAAACTTGTTTATCATGAATTCTCCAGTGAAATTGTCCAGATTAACCAACGAATGATCCTCCCGAAAATTATGTTCCGAACCAAAAGTTCGAATGTTGGGTCTACGGGCAATTTAGGTTCCTACTGCTGTCGGTGTCATTTTCTCGGTTCGGGCCTCAGATCTACCTTGAGTGTCAACACTATTAGCATACAGTTCAAGACGATGTTATTCCCAAGCCAAGCATGTTTTTACGTTATGTCTTTTCATGCCTGCATGCCTGCTGACGTCCAGTTTTCCTTCTTTCATTTCTTAATGGCTTTTTCTGGTACTCGTAAACGTATCTGTGAATAATAGTTGTATACCGTTTGGTTTTGCAAATGTAGGTATAGTATAGTCATGTCTATGGATGTAAAATATTTGTATAAGTGTAAAGTGTTTGTTAAACGACAACTCTACCAGGACTCCGTCAAAGCCAGTGTCTATTTGAGGGGTCTAGGATTAAAAGGGCTTGGTGCCCGAATTCTTGAAAGAGCAGCAGGTCCGTTTGATCCTGAACCCCTCAATTTCTAGTCAGCACTAACCATGGATGATGCGATGCTAAATTTCCTTGTCAGCACTAACGATAACACTTCCTGGTCTCAGACATAACAAGGATTTGCATAACCGTGAAGACAACTTACAGAGGATACCATCCTTGACTGATCCGGCATCAATAATTGAGGCTTGTCTTCTCGTCTGTAGCACAGAGCAATTACAGCTTGACTACTTCCAATGTACCTTCCTAAGGGAGATTCCAAAGAAGTCATCTTAAGGATACGATATGCCCATGGAGAGGCCGACCTTTGATTACAGATGCCATAAAGGAATTTGAAGGGACCTGCGGTATCTTGTATCATTTAAGAGTCGTTGTATAAGTATAGATGGCTAGTAGATGTTCTAAAACAGATGTCTATTGTGCAAGCTGACGTCGTCATGTTTCATGTCTTTGAAGAGAAGAATATTGCAATTGTGAGACCATTAAATATGCAGGTGCGTTGAGCAAACCGTATTTCTCGAGACACATTTTTGCGAGCGTTTGAAAGTTTCTATTTCTTGCAAGACAACAGAGGGAATTTGTTTCTAATAGGCATTAAGCAACCTGCGCATGTTACCGTAACGAGAGTTGGCATGTCATGGACAAACCTGAAATAGAAGAGGCAAAGGCTTTCATCAGCATCTTGGAAGGAGCATTTATACATCACCGCTGATCACCACGGGATATTATCTGACTCATGTTACAGCAACGGATATTATGCCATCTTCCTGAATACAGAGTATCCTGTAGAATATGATCTATTACTAAGTTAATGAGCTATTTAACGTTGCCCAGTAGTGCGAAAGCCGGGATTAGGTTATGAAACATAACACGAATCTATTGACCCTTGCTTAGCTTATTCGTTGCAGTACTTCATATCATATCCATATATAACTATACAGTAAGTTTGCATATTGGCCATAACTCTCATAGTGACCAGTGATTGCCTACTGAGAATCACCTGCAACAACAACAACAGCGTGACGTACATTGCAGCATTTGATCATCGATCATCTATCGATTTTCTTAGATTACTGTGCAGCATACACTGTAAACGATGGAATTCATATGACTATCTCAACATGTTCTCACCAAATTAAGATATCTTGAAACATCCAGTATAGTATCATGGTCGGATGACATACGTCCAACAAATGAACAAAAGGACAGGGGTTCGGACGAAAGGCCATTTGCTGCTTCCTGGGAACATATCAAGCTTATGTTTGCCTAACCCATATAAGTACCAAACAGACCTTTAGGACAGAATCCTCAGACAACAGATTTACAGATTAATCAGTGGCTACGGATTTCTTGATTAATCAGCAGCTATACGTGGACATTTCATTGCCCCATGCTTACCTGTAATCAGATGGGAGTTTCAGACGTCCACCAATCTTTTGTATCTTGGAAAGATTTGCGGGGACATTGATCTTGGCTTCATGTGATTAAAGGTAGATATAGTGCTCCAAAATTGTGCTCCTGAGTCCCATTTGATTTGCAACGGAACAATAGGATTAACCCCGCCGCTTTCGTGTTTGAATGAATGCTCATACGCTCCCAACGTTCCAATTGAAACACCAGTGTTGTCATTAATTAGGTTTTGTGGGAAAAGACTGTGGAAACTCGGTCTGTAATTTTCTGGCTGATAGATGGAAAGTTGGAATAGAGGATTAGAGAGCATCTCGAAATTACGTTAATCCTTTGCAAGATAGTAGGTAGTTCTTCAATGAGATGCCAGACAATGGATGCTCTAATTTGTCTCAGCACTTAACGACATGGCAGCATTGAAAGACACAATCCCCGTAGCGTGCACGTGTTAATTGTGAACTGACATTCCCTTGGGTCTAACAAACCAATTCGTTTTATTGATACAGGCTTTTGTTCGAAAAAACGTGTAAAATGGGAGCTTGGAAACAAATAACACTTCAAACAGACTCGTTGATTTTAATAATGCATCAACGAGTAAAATAAAGGAAATTGTGTGAAAACAAATGCCCTGGAGAAGAAAAAGACCAATTCATTTCGCATCTAAATTCATTTTTTGTAACAGTTTTTAGACATAAGGGACTTTAACAATTCTTAAAGGAAACAGTAAGCATGGCTCAGCATAGGGTGTCTATTAGGGTCAACTACCAGCACTCTGTCAGCAATATTTCAATGGTTGTCTGCAGTCCCATGTCACACTGGTAATATTGATCTGATCCTAATGTTAATACGACACAGCAGTAATTGTCTTAGATACAATTAATACAGCCATTGTTTTCAAGTATGCAGATAGATGTGCCGTTTGACTCTCTGTATAGTTGGTGTTTGTGCAATATTCCAGCAAGAACATGGCGGGGGACCAAGAAAATGGTCACAACATTCTTTTCACGAACATCTGTTGACGTCACTGATTTTCAGTTGTCCACTTCGATAGTTTTTCTTAGCATCTTTGCAATTTACGTTTGGACAGTGGATAATCAAGACTGGTTAATGTGTTGCCTTTACGTTTTTATTCACATTTTGTACCCATGTGGGGTATCGAACTGGGGTCGTTGGCATGACGAGCAAACACTTTAACGACACAGCTACGCCACCGCCCCGAGTAGGAGTAAAATACTATCAGAAACTGCAGCAAGCGCGAGTTCGTTTGTTTGGGTAGGGTAACAACATAAGGTATTTTGACACACATATAATAGTTTACTATGTAAACGGTGTAGTCAACCATGTATTTGTATCTCAGCAAGATGCTTTCCGAATGATTTTGTTTGGAGTATACATTTACGAAATGCGCATATTCGTCGTTCTGGCAGGCCCGGTAACGCATTGGTTTCAGTCAGATCAGTGGTGAGTATGGTTTTACGCCACTTTTAGCAATATTCCAGCCATATCACAGAAATAAGCTTCACACAGTGTACCCATCTTGGGAATCGAACCCGGGTCTTCGGCGTGAAGCTCAAACGCTTTAACCACTAGGCTACCCCACCGCTCCTTCAGTTAGATCAATCATAATCTGTAATCGACGTCGACATTCGGCCAATATGCAAAAATCAGACCTTAGAATTTCTACGGCTATTCAGAGAGCTCTCATCTATTCCTTGATCTTATTCAGCACGAACTATTATTCACCCTTTGACCATATGTCCATCAAAAGAAATCTGCATCGCTGTCATCGTGCGGAAAGAAGATTCACTTGTCTAAGGATTCACACAGACAGAACGTCACTGTGTTGTGCAGCGTTGTGCAACAAGAGGACATCTCGACGCAAGATGACGGAGTATCATCTTCTGTACGTACGTTCGAAGTCACAAAGTCATATGTCATATGTGTACCACCTGAATACTGGACGCTTGGATCACCGCAAGATTGATGGTGTCTGTTTATCTCCAATACCCGTGTTCGTGTCGTATGTGATTGTAGATCTCCGTATGTTCCCGTTGCTGTTGATGAGCTTTTGATGTCGTGTTTGATTTAGTAGCATGTATATACCTTACTTTGCTTGTATGTGGTCGACATATACTTGGATATTGTGTACCTATTTCCGTCATTCTCATTTATTTTACCTTACATCATAACATCTCAAATTGTGACAGGTCGTGTTGGTTTCTCTTAGAGTATGGTGAAGTGATGTAAATCCAATATTGCTGATGTAAAAGGAACTCCATTGAAATTGAACATGGCATTTACATTGCAATTGAGAGGACCGTGAGAGCTACATGAAGACCAAACATTTATTGACAGGGCTGTCACTCAAACCATTGATTCTAAAATGAGGAGTACTTTGGTTTATTTTGGCCTGGCCAGGAATTGCAAA